CCCATGCGCCGCCTCACCCGACGACCTGCGCACCAGTGCACCACCACCCCTACACCACCACCCCTACCCAGCCCCGCCACCGCCCGCCGCAGTCCCCAACCCCGCCGCCGCGCGCCACCGGCCCCAGCTCCACCACCGCGAGCCGCAGTCCCCAGCCGGACCAGACCCAAGCACGTCGCCATGGCGCGACGTCTCCACCTCCCGGCGACGGAGCAACACCTTCCCGATGGCATGCCCACCACCACCGACGAGGCACTCTGCCCCAACCGACGCAGCTCCCCACCGCTGTTGTGCCGCTCCTTCCCCGCGTGTCTCCCCTTCTCCTCGCTGCACGGATTGGTGTGCCGCGGCGCCGCCACCCAGGTCAATTTCTTTCATTCAGCCCTGCATCTCCTAGATGGCTCGTTCAATCACTTCTACATAATCAGTTCTGTGACATGTGTGCTGCACAATAGGTGTTTGCAGTAATGTTTGAGCACCGCACTAGCCACGACCGCAGTCGTTGCATCCCTGAACTGCCATGGGCCTCCTGCGGCCTTGCTTCTTCCTCTGCCTTCTGCGCGGGCGAACCCCTTTTCGTCTTCCCAGGCACGGCCGCGACCTCCTTCTCGGTTGTGGCGCTCCGTCCACCTTCCTCCCCGTCTACCTAGCATAAGACACCTGCTGATTTTAGATCCTGCTAGCTTGGCATGGGCAGATTCCTTTACCAGGCAACACAAGTTTCGATTTCCGGAACTTGTGCTTGATTTTGAATTACATATGTTGTTGACAGGATGTTAGAAGAGAGCTAAAGATAAAAGCGTTTGTGGTTCTTGAATCGGCGCAAAATATGGACATAGTCGTGCAAAGATCCCTGGTAAGCTAAATTGTTTGCTTTTTCCCCCTGGTTACTACTTTTTGGATGGATGGATGGATGGATGGATACCTTGAGCGTTTCACATATATCCTCTTCTGCCTTTAGACAGAGCGAGCCTGTCCAGAATGCAACCATCATAAACTCGAATATTACACGAAGCAGGTTATTTGCTCACCTTCAACTTTAGTTATGATTTTCTCTTTCTAGTTCTGAATCCTGCCGACCGACCTTCTTTACGTGCAATTGCAGCTTCGGTCGGCGGATGAGGGGCAGACTATCTTCTACGAGTGCCCGGAGTGCGGCCACACGTTCAATGAGAACACCTAAGAAAAAGGTTTCCTACTATCAGGGTATGGATATGGGTGGAAGAAACTGCTCCTTCCATTGGTTGACAATCGATGTTCAACGAAATTTCTCCTGCCATGCGTTGACCATTGATAGATTCCCTGCAGCGGCCAAATCCTGGTGCCGCTCGTGAACTCCGCCTCCATCAGCTCCACTTCGCCGGAGCAATCAGTCCAGAGGAGGAGGTGTAGCCGGTCCACCTGATCTCCGACGTCTTATTCTAACTCCAAATAAATTCTTTTCTAGTTCTATTCTTAGTCACATGTACACATGCAGGTTCTAAACTTCTTGTCTAGTCATTCTAGTACTGATGAAGATCGAGTTGACTGAAATAATATAGTCGATTCTTGAGACCCTTACTGGTCCTTCCATATATAGAAGTTGTGCCTGATAGCCAAACATAACTTTTCTCTTTGTTGCCTGCTTGCTTATTTTGGTGATACATTTGGACCTTTGCCTTGTCAGTACAATAACACACTCCACAGCCGAGCACTCCACAGCCGAGCACGAGAAGAGCTGCATGCAGGCCACCCCTGTGCTCTGTCCTATATCCGGCTCAGTCATCTCCCTCTCATCCTCTTTCTCTGCTCCATGTGTGTGTGTGTGTGCAGGTAGTGGGAGGAGATAGAGCAGGGGAGTGAGAGGACCTTCCATGGTGAATCCATAGGCATCTTCCATGGAGATTGTGAGCTCTCCCGATTATTGCTTGAGGATTTATATTGTAGGTCTGTCCACTGTAGTTCCTTTATAGCGGCGTCCTCTATTACTAGTGTTCCTCTTTTGATGTTGTTGCATGTGTTTAATAACCCACTGCTATGATTTCTGGAAACAAGCTTCAGTACAGAGAAGCTTTAGTACAAAAGAAGCTTCAGTACGAGAAAAAATGGGTTGTCAGTTCATCCATATGCAACCTCATGCGTGGTCGTCCATTTTTAGTTGGATCCTACTCGCTGGAAACCACAACATAGGTTGGTGCTCACCTTCTTCGAGACCGCCGCTCTCTCCCACATTTGCAGGCTCTACGGCAAGACATGCTACCTCGACATAAAAAAATCTTCCATTTTTGTTTCTTTTAACCCCAAAACCTTGCTTACAAACAAACACAAAATAATAACATCGTCAGTCTGAACATTCCTGCTACTGAATTCGGTACTAGTTGTGTAATTTCTAGCTTCCACGCCCATTGTGAGTTGTTGTTACCAAGGGAAGAGTACATAGTTGCTGTCTGTAGTTTACTGATGCAAAAGGTTATAAGTTTGTACTAAAAAATTGTAGTTTACTAAGGCAAAGAGTTATGCGTATTCAGCAGTCCAAGTAGTTGTCTAAACGGAAGTTTGGTAGCTGTCCAAATAATTGTCTAAACGGCAGTCTGAACATTCTTGCTGCTAAATATCTCTCCTCTCTCAAATTCGTTCGAATTTGTTGCTTGTTCTTGTTGTTGCCCTGAGTTCCCTCAAGTTGTTTGTTGTTATTCCCATGAGAAACCTTGTCTGGATGGAAAGTAGCATATATTCTATTCTATTCTTGCAAAAGCTTCATTCCTGTTCTGTTTTGAAGTTACTTGGCATAAAAATTACTATATATGCTATTGTAAAAGACTAGATTTCTTCTAAATGTGAAGTTTAAGCTCTCGGGATTTGCTCTTCTAATTTTTTTTATTGATGCATGTTCATGAGTAGTTCAAAACCTAATATTTTTATTGACAATTTGAACTTGCAACTTTACTATCTTGTACTATTCTAAAAAAATTGTACTCATGCAGGTACTTGAAGGGTGCAGACTTGGCAGCGGGGTGGTTTGTTCAACAACAGTACAATGACCGAAAGAACTTCAGTTCAAAAAAATATGCAGGAGGTTTGGGAGCCAAACAACTGGTATTTTGTTGTGTTTTAATTTTTTGGGTGCATGATTGAACAAAGAGAGAAAAATAATGTATGATATATATATACTGTTGTTGTAGGAGGTTCAAAGATTGTCGTGGAGCAAGTTCAAGAGTTTGGTTTCATGTGAAAAAATGTGATTTCTTCTCATACTGTTTCACATGGTTTTGTCCAGTAAGTACATAACTCATGCTCTTATTTGCAGATCATGCAAGTTCAACTATATAACCCGCCGCCGCCCAGGGACCCAACGCGCCGCCGCTCCTCTGATTCTGCTCCCCGGCTCTGCTTGCAATTCTTCTGCCGACACCAATGGTCAGCACCCCAACCTTCCTTTTTCTCTCGATCTCACTTCATTGCTGCTCTGCATGAAGCAAAACAAATGTGTTTTATAGGATTTGCTATATATGCGTACACCTTTGTAGGTTTTTTCTGTTCAAATTTTGCTAGCAAAACAAGATTTGTCACAGTTCAATATAAATTGTGAATTCAGTTAGATGATGGGAAATAAATCAACTATATGTGTGCACACTGCACTCGCAATTCCATAGAAAAAATCCAGCAGTTTGCTAAACAAAACATTCACACACATGGCTCTGGAAAATCAATGATCAGGTAAAGTTCAGTTCATACCACACTAACTGGGCATATTATAGATAATATTTGCAATGTCCCAAATTCTCCCACTCTCTGGAAACAAAGTAGCAGAAAAGGATGTGAAAAGGTGTAAAGTTCAATTCATCTACATGCATAAGTCCGAAGATTGTCGTAGAGAGAGTTCAAGTGTGGCTTCGTGAAAAGGTGTGGGTTTCTATTAGTAATTTGGCAGAAGTTGTACTTGATTTTCTGGAGCTTTATTGAAAAATTATGTTTGTGGACATGTACTGTCGTTTGATATCACAAATAGGAGCACAAAGCAAGAGGAGCAACTTGAGCTGATGCTGCCACTACTTTTCGCTTGTGCCTTGATGCTGCTTAATTCAATCTTGTGCTTATTCTGTGCACAACTTAATGCTCTATAGGTGCTTGTCAAAATGCGTATGAGAACCAAATATTTTTCCGCTTTTTTTGGTATAACGGTGCAAAAATGAATTAGCTTTTTTGAGAGCTACAGGTCATGATGCCTGAAATTCTTATATGATTGCATCAGTTCAGACTCGAGCATACAATAAGTTCGGAGTTCAAGTTTCAAAATTCTGCAAGTTTGGTTATATCATCTAGATAAGTTCAACGAAAAATTCTGCAAGTTCGGTGCGTGTGCTGTTACAAATCTAAATTCATATACAATCCATCTAGAAGAGAATATTTGGTAAGTACAATTTTATACCCGAAACAGAAAGTGTAACATAGGGGAGGGAATAAAGTGAAGCTTGGTCTCAATTGATTTGAGACATGCATTTTTTTTAGTATCAGCACCTTGGCTATCCATTCAAGTAATCACAAAGACCATCATGGACGACGACGGGCCTACAGCAGCTATGGTTTTAGTCAAGTGTTTCAAAAATGCACAATACTACTTTGTATGCTTCACTCTTTGTCGTGGGAAGGTGACTAAAGCTCCATATTGCAATTTCACTAGACTATCCGGATTTCATTTAGTGTTCAAAATTAAATACTTTCTTGTCCAGTCATACTAGTACTGATGAACGTCAAGTTGACGTTGTGCTGCTGTAAAGC